CTCTTGCTCTTGCCCCTTCTCATCCTCCTCCTCCTCCGCCTTCTCCTCCTCGTGCTCGTCCTCCTCTTCAATCCCCTCCTCCTGGTTCCCCTCCTCCTCCTCCTCCTCCTCCTCGCCCCTCCCCATTCTCATCCTCCTGCTCCTCATCCTTCTCCTCCTCCTCCTCCTCCTCCTCCGGACGACGAGGATCCAAGATCGAAGATCGAGATAGGTTTGGGAAGTCGTACCCTTCGTGGATTTCGGGGAGTCTCCGTGGTCCCCTAGGAACCTGCGGAGGCCGAGGAGGATCGGGCGAGAACCAGAGTAAGCCCCAGATAAATCAACAACGATCCAACCCCCAAAGAGGCCCTCAGGAAGACCCCAAGAGGCCCTCGCAAGGCTCTCAAGAGACCACCGAGAGGCTCCGGAAGACCCGCGAGGCCCTCCCCCTCCTCGTCTCCACCTGTTCCGTCTCCCTGCCCTCCTCGCACACGGGGTCGGAGGCACTGGCCACAAGGCCTTCACAATCAACAACGAATCAACGCACCCTCCCGTCCCTAGAAGAAGAGAAAACGCCATCAACATAAATTTTTGGCGCTCCGCGCGGGTTTCTTGGATCCGCGCTAGGGGCGGCGCCGGAGGCGCCGCAAGGGGGGCCCAGCGCGAATCCAAGAAATCCTGGCGGAGCGCCAAAAATTTGTGTTGATGGCGTTTTTTTATCTTCTTCGAGTTCCAAGTCCCCTCCTCGCATGCCCCTCCAGGTGTACGGTTTCATCGCGAGGGGCAACCACCTGGAAGGCGAGTGCCCCCATAAGCCTGCTATTCAAGCTGGCCTCCCCGCTTTGCAAAGGAACTGCCCCCACCATGGTACGCATCAACGATGCCTGGTATGCGTAAGATCATATAGTGTGGATGTCAAGGCGTCAACAATGGCCAAACTTAGGAGAAACACTGCTCTCCGTCCGCACAACGACTGCACATGACCAAGATTCAATCTAGAAAGGCTGAAGAACAAAAGTTTGCCAAAGCCCGATTGTGACAACTAATCGCCCTCCATCCGTGTGACTGTTGCGTACGCTTGTACGCTTGAGCTCTGGCCCACAAGAAACAAGAAAATTAAGCGATAACCTCAGCTAGCAAACAAAAACGCCCTCTATCCGTGCGACTGTTGCACGCCTGTGATAGCAACAGGACCGTAGAATGCGACCCCGTCTCCAAGACTACATCTTGGAAATAAGCCGCCCTCCATCCGCGCAATTAGCAACTGCGGTAACCAAAGCCTTGGAAATGGATGTGCGCGGCGCTAAGGAGACGGTCAAATGATGAGAGCCATCCGCCTTTCCATTTGCATCATTGGTGGAGCACTAAAGCTTCAGGGCCACAAGTTGTTGAGGCCTCCAGCGAAAGGCCAGACCCACCTTACCGACACGTCAGCTGGCGTGACCAAAAGTAAGAGTGACAGTGGCGGAGGAGGAGGAGGGCGGAGGAGAAGGGAGGAGTGGCGGGAGGAGTGGGGGAAGAGGAAGGAGCAGGAGGAGGAGGAGGAGGACCAGTGTAAACCCAAGACTCGTCAACGATGTTGGAATAAAACCTCCCTCCAAGCTCCCTCTTCATAGGCCCCTACAAACATCCATCTCCACTGAAGGGATTTCTTCGTTGGGAGACGACCAGCTGAAGACCCTGAAGCGCGCAAAAACACCATTCCCGGGACTGGCTGAATCAACCGGACTGCTACGTCTTGACGATCCTGAGTCGTGCCAGAACATGACACCTGGGACTTCGATATCGCTGCGCTCTCACAATCCTGAGTCCGTCCAAAACACAATTTCTGGCACAGGAATATGCAAGACTCTTGTGCGTGGCACTCGAGCACAACCACATGTTGAAAAGGCAGCACCCGCAATCTGTGAAACTCTTGCCTTTCAACAAGACGAGCGTGCGCGGCCACAAGAAACGACTCGCCTTCAATCCTTGAAAGTCTAACTACCCGCCCTCAAGGCGTGAAACACTTGCCAATGCTTACAAAGAGTGAACGCGGGGCTAAAGCGAGAGCCACATTTTGAAAACGGCCCGCCCTCACTCCGTGAAACTCTTTCCAAATTCTAAAAGCTTCAGGGTCATCACTGGTGAGGCAGTCTCAGGGGAATGCCTGGCCCGCCCGTTCGACCGGCCTCGGAGTGCGACAGGGAGGAATATTTTGTAAGGAGGAGGAGGAGGAGGAGGAGGAGGAGGAAGAGGAGGAAGAGGAGCAGGAGGAAGGAGGAAGGAGGCGGAGGAAGGAGGGCAGAGGGAGGAGGGAGGGAGGAGGGAGGGAGAAAGGGGGACCGGAGGCAGGAGGAGGCAGGAAGGAGGGCGGAGGCACGAGGAAGCAGGGAAGGGGAAGGAGGGAGGGAGGACGCAGGCACGAGGGAGGCAGGCGGCAGGAGCAGCAGCTCTTGGACACGCCGTCGCCGACGAGGGCGTCGGCGCCCCCAGCGGCGACACGGCCGCGGGCGCCCTGGCGGCCGCCGGCGCCACGGCCGGCCGCGGCGCAGCGGGCAGCAGCGCGGGCGCCGCGGCGGCGAGCGGCACGGCCGGGACGCCCGCCGGGCGGAAGGTGAACAGCAGGGTGCCGACGGCTCGGGAGGCGCCGGCGGCCAATCCCAGACCTCACCCGGACCTCTCTGGGCGATTTCGGAGGCCCTGAACCCAAGAGGCATTCTCATCTCTTGGGGGCACGTCTTTGGCTTCCGCCGCCTGCCGCCGAGCTGCCGCGGGCTTCCGCCAGCGGAGACGGCCTCGTAGCACTTCCGCCGACCTTCCGCCGCCCTTCCGCCGGCTTCCACCGAGGAACAGGTGACAACCCCTTCGATCCTCGAAGGCAAGGCCCTTTCTGGAACGCCTCATCTGGCGGAGCGACTGGGGGGAGGAGATGATCCTGGCGAAGGACCCGACCGTGTGCAAATGTGAGTGCCGCACGACAGGCGGGACGAGCGAGGAGGGAGCTCCCCGTGGGGCCACGGAACGTGCGAGGGGTGCGCCGAAATGGGCGAGGGGGCGCGTGCGGGCCCTGACAAGACGAGCCTTCGGCGAAAGCTCCCCGTGGGGCCACGAACCTCTGGCGGACTGGTCAAGGGAAGGAAAAAACTCAAACATGCTCTCGCGTCGCGAAAACAAAAAAAACTCGACAGGAGGGTTCGGCCCGTTTACGACCCCCGGGGGACCCTCGCCAGACCCCGGGGTCATGGAAGAACAGCTCGGCCCGAGGAACTGGCCCTTGGGAAAGCGCCGAGACTTCCAGGGAGCCACTTCTCGAGCTGCCACCCCCACCATGCGCCGAGGGCGCCCCCGGCGGCCCAGGAAAGGCCCAAGGCGTCCACGGGGCGGCTGCCCTCCACCCCGCGCGCCCCGCCCTGCCCCGGGGGCCGTCCGCAGACCTGTCTGGCAGGCGGCGTCAGAGCGAACCCGTTGACCGTTGAGGTCGAGGCAGGCGCGGGGATGCCACGGCAGGCGAAGTTCCATGGTCCTCAGAGCGCGTGCCAGCGCCAGCGTGCGCTTGTCCACCGAGGCCCTTCCACACGGCGCAGGCGGCGCAACGGGGGCCGACACAGGCTGCGCGCCCTTGGCGGAACCGCAAAATAAGCACACGCTTGGGCCAACACAAGTCCCGAGGACGATCGAGAATCGGGCACCGAAGACGGGGAAGCAGCGTTCCGCCGACACCCGACGACCAGGTTTGTCCAATCCGCGGCCCCAGAGCTCCCGACGCCTTCCCCGGGGGTAGTCTCTCGTCTTTGATCCATTTCTGGTGGCACCGCGGGGCCCGATAACGGGCCCCAGAGGCCGAAATTTGGGAAGAAAGCCGACATGGATAAACATACCGGCAGAGATCTGGGTCGGCAGCGATCAGGAGCCTTCAGCGGCCATCGGCGACCTGAGGGGGCCTTCTCGGCCACGCCCCGGTCCGGGGTCTGGTCCAGGCCAGGACGGCTGGCGCCCCCCGAGGATGGCGGGCGTCAGCGGCACGGAGCTGCGGCCCTCCGCCGCGCGCGCCAGGAGCGCCTGAGGTGACGAAGGAACAGCACGAGTTCAGCCCTGTAGGTGGGAGGAAGGAGGAAGGGTGAGGCGACGAAGGCGCCAGTAGGCAGGATCAGTCAGGGCCGGATCGGTACATCGGACTGGCTGCATCGGCGCGGCAATCGGCATCGAGTCGGGTCGGCTGCGTCAGAGTACACGACAGCGCCATGCAAGCACCGGGCCCTATCAGATCGTCGGAATATCCGAATCGAATCGGATCGGGCAGGCTGGAATCGCCATCGAACCGGATCGATCGGATCGAAGTGTCACAGAAGCGGATCCCTTGGACAAACTGGGGCACGAAGCGGGCCACGAACTTGCCTGGGCGCCCCCGGCAATTCCGTGTGCTTAAAAATCTGCGGCGCGGCGGGATGGACACCCCTGGCAGCCCGCCCAACGGTGCGGGCGTTGGACCACGCTCCCCTCTCATCATTGTCGCATGCACGCGAACCGTCGGCACTGCGACCATCAGCTTTAGCAGCGCTGCGCCCTGGGCCCTACTAACGTCGTCGCCGCGGCAACAACACAATCCGGCTCCCCACCCCATTTTTCTTTTGGAAGGGAGTTCGTGCACGCCCCCTTTTCGTTACCAAGGGTTGGACACCGATGAGAAGTAGACCCTGCTGAAGGTATGGGCGCGAATTGACGGACCCCGAGAGGGGCCCGCGTCCGAGCGGGGACCCCATCCAGCAACACACGCTCACAGCCCCTGCGAAATTCGCCTTCGAGTTGTCTGGGGGTCGCACAGGTTTGGGTGCCAGGAGTCAGCTCATGATGAGGGGCGAGCGGCTTCGGGGAGGGACGAAGGACGGGGGAGCAAGGGGGGGCGGCGGTGTCAAGTCGGCGGATAACACCTTCTGCCTGCACCTGAACCGAATAACTGGAGCCCCTCGTTGATACTCCCCTGGGAGAGCTCAACGGCGCAGTGGAACAAGGAACGGCATAGAAACACAAACTTTTGACAGTCAGGGCTTTTTACGTTTGCTGCCCTTCGATGGCGGGGCTCCCTGCAGGAGCGAGCAGGGGAGCCGCCAAGGCGGTCTCGAGGCGCCAGGGCGGCCGGGCCCTCTCGGGGCGGGGCGCCTGTGGCCGTGGCCCTCCGGAGCAGCACGGCCACGGCGGCGCCCGCGAGGACGAGGAAAGATACCGTGCGGCCGCGGCCGCCAGGGACCCTCGCAAGAAACCCAGCCCTGAAATGGGGGGCCACAGGCGAACCCTACCCCTACCCGCCCACGACTTCTGAGGGGGAGTGAGCCCCACCCTCCCCCTCAGGAATCGTGGGGGGGCAGGGGTAGGGTTCGCATGTGGCCCCCCATGAAAACCCACGCGCGTGGCGCACCTGAGGGGGAACCGGGAGCACACTGAAAGCAGCAGCATTTCTTCAACGGCTGCGGGGAGTCACCGCGCAGCGCGCGGAGCGGAGAAACACAGGGTGCCCTGACGAAAAAGCATCTGGTTTCTTGATGCGCGCCCCCACTGTATGCACCTCCAGTCCCTCACCTTCCATCGAGGAGTAGAGGAGCAGCAGCGCCTGCAGGTCCACGCGACCGATGCCCAGGCAGATCTCCTGTGGCGCGCCGACAAACTGCGACGGCAACGATGTCGACGTCGACCTCGACCTCGACCTCGACCTCAAAAACGACCTCGACCTATACCTCGACCTAGACCACGACCTCAAACCATCGACGACGACGACGGCGACGGCGACGGCGACGGCGACAGCGGCGACGGCGGCGGCGCCGAGACGAATGCTACGACGACGACGGTAACGACGATGCTGGCGACGCGCGAGGACCAGGAAGATCTCCTGCACCGCGCTGACGACCACGACGCGGAACGCGAGCACGCGCCCAGCGCCGGGCACGAGGAAGCGATCCTCCGCGGAGGCGTTCGCAAGTTGTCGGAGTGCTTCGCACGCTCCCGGATGGTCTTCGCATAGTTTCCGAATGCCCTCGGGGGAATTTAGGAAGGCTTGGGAGATGTTCGGACATCTGCACATAACTTCAAACGACTTCGACAGCGACAGCTTCTGAAGGCTTCGTAAGGCGTAAGGTTTCAGGGGAGGGGCGGAACGGTTTCGGACGATTCAGAAGGCCTCCGCAGTTTTCCGAATGAATCCGGCAGTTCTTCGAAGGGCTTCGGATGGTTTCGGGATGGCTCTCGGAAATCTCCAATGGTTTCGGATGGCACTGAAGATTTTCGAAAGCTGAGGGAGGGAGGGGGAGCCCAGAATCGCATATCGATCGAATCGCTGGCACAATCGACCTGGCCAAATTGAAGCTCGTCCTGGGCTGCCCTGGGGGGTGCAAAATGGAGTCGACCTGTGCCGCACGCAGACATCGGCACCAACAAGAAGCAGAGGGTCCACGTCGACTGGCAATTCCGATCCTGTCTTCCTCCTCCTCCCCCAGATGTCTTCGGAGGTCTCCCAGTGTCCCTGGAGGTCTCCGGAAGCTTCTGGGTCCCCCCTGGAGACAGATTTTTTGGAATCGGCGATAACCCGGGTTATCCGGGGGGGAGGGGGCCGGCCGATAATCTAACCTTCGCGCTGTGGGCAGCCCTGCATATGCCCGCGCCCCCCCCATCACGGACCTGCACAACCGGCAAGGTTAGGTTATCCTGGGGGGGGGGAGGGGGGGGGCAAGCCCGATAACCCGAGTTATCGCCGGACCCTTAACAAAAACAGTCTCCTGGAGGCCCAAAGACGGCCAAAAACATCCTCGAATCTGGATCATGATCGATCCTGTCGGTCACGCGACCCCAGGGAGGGCAGGACCCCCTCTGGCAGAAATACGCAGGGCTCGACGAGGGCAGCTGGCTTTGCCACACGACGACGACGACGACGACGACGACGACGACGACGACGACGACGACGACGACGACGACGACGACGTCCGACCAAAGTCCACCCAGAATCGATCCTCGGACCCCTCCCAACAAGGGCTCCCAACTTCGCGCTTCGCGCTGCGCGAAGCGCGAAGTGCGAATAACTTCGCGCTCTGGCGCCGCCTCCCAGGGGAGAAGAGGAGGATGAGGAGGAATCTGAGCCGAACCGCGAAACGCGAAGCGCGAATAACTTCGCCCCCTCGAGGGCGCCCTTGCCCCAAGGTCCATCCTGGCCACTTCTCCGAGCTGCACCCGGCCGTGGCGACGAGAGCCTCCAGTCGCGAAAAAAACCTCGGAGACGACGCGGACGACGCCGACGACGACGACGACGACGACGACGACGACGATGACGACGTCCTCCCAGCGCGGCCGCCGGTCGCCGCGCGGACAGCGGCCCGTGCGGCCCAGCACCGCGCCGTCCAACACCACCTCCGCGAGGAGGGAGCCGGGCGCCGGGCAGGCGACCAGCCTGGCCGGGTCGTCGCCGTGGTCCCCACCGCCCTCGCCGCCGCCGCCGCAGCCGCTCGACGACGACCTCGGCATCCACCAGGCAGGTCTCGTATGGCGCGCCGGCAAACTGCGACGGCAACGACCTCGACATCGAACTCGGAATCGACCTAGACCTAGATCTCGACGACGACCACGGCCTCAACGCCATCGAGGACGACGACGCCGACGCCGACGCCGACGCCGACGCCGACGCCGACGCCGACGACGACGACGACGACGACGACGTCAACGACAACGACGATGACGACGACGACGATGACGACGACGACGACGACGACGACGACGACGACGACGGCGACGACAACGACGACGACGGCGGCGGCGGCGGCGGCAGCGTCGTCGTCGTCGCGTGTCGGAGGCTTCGTGGCGGCTGGAGTTTCTCGTCGCCAAGGCCAGGCGCAGCTCGAAGAACTTGAACAGGATGCCCAGGGGCCAACTTTTTGATGATTTTGGTCTGACATCGTGGTCGTCGAGATCGTCCTCTCCTTCTTGTGCTCCTGGTTCCTGGCTCCTGGTGGCTGGAAAAACGTCGCTCGAAGCCTCCCCCCCAAGGGCCAGTCGAGGGCTCATCAAACTGGGGCCAGGTGACCCCTGGAGCACCGCTCCAGGGGCCACCGGCGACGCACGTATTCTGTCGCGACGGGGAACGCAATTTGTAAAAGAGGACAGACAGAACTATCCTTCTCCTGCTCCTCCTCCTCCTCCTCCACCTCCTCCTCCTCCTCCTCCTCCTCCTCCTCCTCCTCCCCCTCCTCATCTTTCTCCTTCTGGTCGTCGTGGTCGTCCCCTCCTTCTGGTCCTCCTCCTCCACCTCCTCGCTGCCTCACTGAGCGCGTCGGCAGGGCGAGGGGGGCTTTTCGCATCAGCATTCCGCATCTCGTGCGATCATGAAGCGGGGTACTGCCGATATGGAGTCGGACCGAGGTACAGGATCGAGGTCGCGCTTCGGGGAGGTTACCCTGACGTTCTTCGTGTTTGCTGGATGTTGTTGTGCATCCGGGGGGGGGATGCCCTCAAATGCTACTCGGTTTGGCAGGCGGAGGGTCTCACGCTCTTGAAGGATGTCTTTTATGTCCCGGGTCCGACTGTGCACGAGTTGAGGGTGGGCCACTCTCAGCATGCCATGGCTCTCGCATAAGCGCCGTGCGCAGCCTGATGGCTTGGGAAGGTTGCGCGGATGAGGCACAAGTGGTCTTCAAAGCGCGACTCTCTCTCTCTCTCTCTCTCTTCCCGTAGCGCCGCGCACACTCGTTTCACAGGCTTGTAGGAATTACAGAGATGGAGGGCGGCTCATTTTCAAAATGTTGCTCTCGCGACAGCGCCAAACCCATGGGTAGATCTTCCACCTGCCTTACGCATGGAGGTCGGTTCCTCTTCAAGATGCGTTTCCGCCTCAGCGCCGCGCACATGCATGAATCTTCCAACTACCATACGAATTCAAGCCCGCTCCTGCTCAAAATGGGGCTGTCACGCAAAATTATGTCATTCTGAAGGTCTTACCGAACTGTGGGATGCTCGGACGGACGGACAGCGGCTTCATTTTCAAATGGGGATGTTGCTTTATGTCGATTGAGATGTTACTGTCATAGGTGTGCAAAACATGTGCGGAGGGTGGTTCCTCGAAAAACTGAGCCACTGTTGGCCATTTCCTCTGCTGACTGCTGATAGCCCTAGCCATTTGCCATTGGCCATTGGCATCTCTGAACGGAGAGCTGATCCTTTTCATACTGGCATATCGCCTGGATAGCAGTAGCATCGTGCACTCGTCTTTCGGGGAGGGGACTTGCGACGGAAGGATGTATCGCAGCACCGTTGAGGCAGCCTGGGTTTCTCTGGCCCTCTGCCTCCACCGCCTCCTCCCCGAGAGGTGACACACGCCATAAGGCATGCGCCAGTGAAGGCGCCGTGCCCTTTTTGTTGGCATGGGGCGATGGGGGCTGCGGCTCGAGGTGCTCTGTCGAGCCAAGTCTGTGTTGCTCGTGCTGTTTCGAGGCCGCTTCCACATGTGCCCGCGTGTATCCGCGTGTCCTCCTGGTCCTCCAAATCCTCCTGGCCCTCCGGAGGCCCCGGGAAATTCCCCGACAGCCTGCGGAGGCCTCCAGAGGTCCCCGGACCGCTGGAGGGTCAAAAAAACCCAAGAACATCCAGACACCTCTATTCTCGAACCTGCTCCTCCTCGCAAGGTGACCCGCATACTCAGGTCGCCCAAATCGGATCAAGGAAAGCCGCGAGCCGGAGTGTGTGTGTGTGTGCAGACCCTTTGCATCCCGTTCAGTTGCGACCTGCTCAACGTGTGCGGCACTGGCGCCTGCTGTCCCTGACGTAGCCCCGTCACCGTGACGCCTGGATGTCCTCGTGGACCCGTCGGTAGCTGCCAACGCCCTCTGTTGGACACACAGCGCCGATCCAGGAAACCCGCGCGGACCTCCGGAAGCTTAGGCTTCTGCCGCTTTTTGTTCTTCGATGGAATACAGGGGCTGCGTTGGCCCACGTCCCTGTTGCGCTGAGTCGTCGGCATCACTGGCGGCCAGCCGTTCGGCGTCCGTTCCCGGTGCCTGCGCCGGCGGCC